ATGAATGATGATGATGATGATGATGATGATGATGATGATGATGATGATGATGATGATGATGATGATGATGATGATGATGATGATGATGATGATGATGATGATGATGATGATGATGATGATGATGATGATGATGATGATGATGATGATGATGATGATGATGATGATGATGATGATGATGATGATGAGGAGGAGGAGGAGGAGGAGGAGGAGGAGGAGGATGCGGAGGAGGCCTAAGTATCTGCACACCTCTTCGACTGCTGCTTCCGGCGCCGACGTCTTTCTACCTTCTTCTCTCGCTTCCCCCTGGCGAGCGGGCGAGGAGTGCATTGATAAGTGCGTCGACATCGCGTTCTGGAGGCCTCTCAGGAAGGTGAAGTTCGGGAAGGCTTGGGGCAACCGCAGCAGGGGGTAGCCTGGGGGGAAGGGTGGCGGAGGAGGAGACGGCGGAGGAGGAGGAGGAGGCGGAGGAGGAGGAGGATGAGAAGGAGGAGGAGGAGGAGGAGGAGGAGGAGGAGGAGGAGGAGGAGGAGGAGGAGGAGAGGAGGAAAGAAGAAGAAGAAGAAGAATAAGGAACAGGAGCAGGAGGAAGAGGAAGAGGAAGAGGATGAGGAAGAGGAAGAGGAAGAGGAAAGGAAGAGGAAGAGGAAGAGGATGATGATGCTGATGATGATGATGCTGATGATGATGATGATGATGATGATGATGATGATGATGATGATGATGAGGAGGAGGAGGAGGAGGAGAGGAGGATGAGGGAGGAGGAGGAGGAGGAGAGGAGGAGGCAGGAGGAAGGAGGAGGAGGAGGAGGAGGAGGAGGAGGAGGAGGAGGAGGAGGAGGAGGAGGAGGGGGACGAGAGGAGGAGGAGGAGGAGAGGAGAGGAGGAGGAGGAGGAGGAGGAGGAGGGAGGAGGAGGAGGAGGAGGAGGAGGGAGGAGGAGGAGGAGGAGGAGGAGGAGGAGGAGGAGGAGGGAGGAGGAGGAGGGGGAGGAGGAGGGAGGGAGGAGGAGGAGGAGGAGGAGGAGGAGGAGGAGGAGGAGGAGTAGGATGGAGGAAGAGTAGGAGGCTGAGGAGGAGGAGGAGGAGGCAGGAGGAGGAGGAGGAGGAGGAGGAGGAGGAGGAGGAGGAGGAGGAGGAGGAAGAAGAAGAAGAAGAGTGGCATGGGGAGGAGGAGGTGGAGGAGGAGGAGGAGAGAAGGAGGAGGATGGGGAGGAGGAGGAGGAGAAGGAGGATGAGGGAGGAGGATGAGGAGGAGGAAGAGGAGGAGGAGGAGGGGTTGAAGGAGAGGAGGAGGAGGAGGGGATCAGGAGGAGGAGGATGATGAGGAGGGGAGGGGGATGGGTTTGGGGGAGGAAGGAGGAGGATGATGGTGGTGATGATGACGGTGGTGTTGGTAATGATGGTGGTGATGGCGGGGCTGATATTTACAGGACGACGATGAGGAGGAGGATGATGCCGAATCCATTCTGGCTCAGGCCTTCGGTCTCCCCTCGCGTCTTCAGCGAGCTCCCCGGTGAACGCTTCGTCGATGGACACTTCGTCGATGGACACTTCGTCGATGGACACTTGGGACGGGTCGGCGACCATCCCGCGGCCCAGCACCTGGGCTGCGGCAGGTGCGGGGCGGTCCTGGAGCTGGGCGTGCCAGGCCAAGAGCGCCCAGGGAGCTTGGGCACCGCGTTGTTAGTCATATGGAAGGCGAGGTCCGGCGCGGGCAGAGGAGGAGGAGGAGGAGGAGGAGGAGGAGGAGGAGGAGGAGGAGGAGGAGGAGGAGGAGGAGAAGAGGGAAGAGAGGAGGAGGAGGAGGAGGAGGAGGAGGAGAGGAGAGGAGAGGAGGAGGAGGAGGAGGAAGAGGTGGCTGTGGAGGTTCACGCCACCATCGCCGCGGTCGAGGACATGATCAGAGGGTGTGGGGGGCAAAGGAGGGCCACTTTGTTTCGCCAATAGGAGGAGGAGGAGGAGGAGGAGGAGGAGGAGGAGGAGGAGGAGGAGGAGGGCCCAGGCCGGGGCTGAGGCCTGCCAGTGGGGTGTCCCACGGGAACTACAGCTCCTGGCAACAAAGGGCATGCGGCACAGACACCAGGAGGACAGCGAGGTGATGAACCTGAGTATACCACAGCTTCGCGCAGGAGGAGACGCGAAGCGTCGATTGATGAAAAGCTGGCCACTATCATTGCGAATCTCGACGGGACTTGCAATCGGCTGAACGTCTTGGAGGGTTGGGTGGCATCATCTTGTGCAGTCGACCAGCGAGTAGCCGATGCTCTTCAGAACTTCCTCCGATGAGTGCAACCACATCGGCAAGATCGTCAAGTGCCTCCAGAACGAAGACGCATACCACATTGAATCGGGGTCGTACATCGAGCTCTCACCGGACAAATCGACGATCTTCAGCGACCTTTGGGACAACGGCGCCTCCCATAAGGAGCCGGAAACATCAGACCAGGACGACGTGATTCAGATATTCTTTTTGGCCTGATGCCCAGGGTCACCAGCAAAGCAGATGAAACACGAGAAGAAAGACCACGTGGAGACGCACGAGCATGATGTCACACAGGAGGAAGGTAGCGACGACGACGACGACGACGAGGACCAGGACCTTGCGTCCAGAGACTGCCCAGGATGCAGCACTCCGACGACCACGTCGAGGCGGCGGCACAGGAGTACGAGGAGCACGGCGCTGCGGAGCGCTGGCAAGGCACGGAAGCAGGCCCCGAGCGGGAAGGATCGATCGGCCCTGCGCGATCTGATGGAGGCAACGCGGACTTTCGATGACGCGCAAGTCCGATCGGCAAGTCGCCCAACGCCGATCGGACTTGCGCGTCATCGAACGTGACGGCTCGGCGTGACTTGCACCACCCTCCGAAGCACGTCCGGCGATGCCTTGCCCCACGGCGTGCTCGGCGCCGCGGCGCCACCGCTCCGCTCCGAGAGCGGCCCCGCCCCGGCGCCTAAAGGGCGCCGCGCCATCGGCCGTCCGCCCCGTCGGGTGTCCTGCGCGGTCGGCCGCCGACCTCGGGCGGGTTCCTCGAGAGCGGCCAGAGTCGGCGGGCACCAACTATACACCAACACCGATCCTGGCCCAGGATCACCCTGGGCCCAGGATCGGTGTATATGCCTTCTTGCCCAAGGCAGGAGGGCGTATACACCGATCCTGGGCCCAGGGTGATCCTGGCCAGGATCGGTGTTGGTGTATAGTTGGTGCCCTCCTACAGAGTGCGGGGCAGGTGCACAGGTCTAGGCCTCCTAGATGGGGTCCGAGCAGATGGGGTCGGAGGCTCGCGCCGCATCGTCGAGGTCTCGGCGATGCGGCTCGATGCGTAGCCCGATGCTCTCCACGCTGGCGTCGCCGATGCACTACGATGCATCGCCGATGCATCGGCGACGTCTCGCCGATGCATCGGCGATGCGGCGCGATCCTCCGACCCCATCTACTCCGACTCCATCTAGGAGGCCTCTAACAGGGTCGAAGAAGAACAAGCCACCACAAACATAAAAAACTTTTGGCGCCCCGCGCGGACTTCTCGGATCGGCGCCTGGGACCCCCGGACGGCGCCTCCGGCGCCGCCCCCGGCGCGCTCTCTGCGCGCCGGTTCGGGGGCTCCAGCGCAGATCCAAGGAATCCGCGCGGAGCACCAAAAGTGTACGTTTATGTTGTTTGTCTTTCTTCTAAAGGTGCGGGGCAGTCGCAGAGGGGCCATTACTCTCGGCGCGTCATCGCTTGCAGGAGATCCACGAGGAGATGTCTCGTCCGCGGGCGCTGGGGCCGGCAAGCTTCGCGAGAGAGGCAGCCATCTGGCCGAGATCGTGTAAGACATACGTCGTTCTGCCCTGACAGGACGAGGAGGATACCGACCGCTTGCAGGCGAAATTGGTGGAGGCCAAGCACGAGCTGTAGGCCGCGAATCCCTTGCTCACCCAGCACACGAATGTCAGGCACTTGGCTGGCAGTTCTTGAAGCCAAAGAGGCAGCCTTTGCCGGGAAACTCGACGAGCTGCGGGAGCCCATCAAGCAGGCCCAGGCCGGCCAAGACAAGGACACAGAGCGGGTTCGGCACCAATTTGTGGTTACCTTTCTAAAGAAGGTCGCCAGCGATTTGCCTTCCCAGGATTTTCGGGGACATCGACCCAGGGGCCTTCACGGCGAAGCCCAGCATGACAAGGTCATGGTTGAGTGCCCAGCCCGGGAGAGCTCTTTATTTTTCTTTGGGTGAAGAGGGGCTAGCAGGCTGCTGCTTCGGGCGAGGAGCTGTGGGGGCAGTATGCAAGGGCGCCAGCCGCGAGTCTTTACTTGGGAGCTGGAAGCTGTTGGGCTCGAGCTCCAGAGGTGCCTTGCCAACCTTGGGGATAGCTCCCGCGAGCTCTGCCGATGTCGTCGACGACGTCATCGTGACCATTGCTGCCTGGGTTTCCAGTGTACGCGTCACATTTTTCGCCCGAGTTTCTGGGCACTTCATGTGGCTATTCTTGCAAGTGCTAATCTCGACGTGTCGAGCTCTACTGTACTAGCCTTGGGGGCAACTACTACATCGAGAGCCACGTCGAGTTCGACAGCACCACCAAATTTGGTCGAAACAGACTGAGCCAGACGAGTGAGTCAGGAATGCGGACCGGAACGGCTCGCTGGTACCCGCCAGCGTGACAGCTAGCGGGGGCAGGCACGGACGCGGTGGAGTCCTGTTTCAGCCGAGGAAGGGCCGTCACGCTAGTTCACGCTGAGATCCACGGTCCCGTTTGTTCCCATGGAGCTGCATCGGGCCCAACTTCTAGCAGACGTCAGGCGAGGAACGATCATCCTCTGTCACACTCCAGCTTTGATTCGTCAGCTGAGTGAGAGCTACAAGGGATTTGCCGTGGCCGCCGAGCATTCTCTCCCGCAGAGCAAGGGGGCGCGAGCGCGAGGGCCAGACGGCGCCCCGCGAGGCATAGTCGTGAAGGCCCAAGCTGTGCTGGGCTGAGCCCCTCAGCCCCCGGGATATCTCAAGGCCGCCTCAGGGCTCGTTCGGTCGGGGGCCTTGGGGTCGCGCTTCAAGGAGTTGGTGCCTGCGCTGCGCCTGAAGCGGCCCCAGTTCACAGCGGCGAGGACCTGGCGGAGTGCAGGCGAGCGGCTAGCAGGTTTCCAGGCCTTGGCCTCTGTGCTACTGGACCCTCGGGATTCCAACTGGCTGGAGAAGCTCGCCCGGCTCGACTGTCTTGGCCGCGGCGACCTGGCCGAGCGGATGCGGCCGATGCTGATTTTGATTGTTTCCTATGGTTGCCCACCCCCTTGCACGGATAAGGAGATTGAGAGGTGGGATCTAGGTCTAGGTTTGGTCGGCGACTGCGCCTGGGCAGACAGGGTGATCCAGGAGCGCGCCAGCCTGGCCGTGGCGTGGAGTGCCCCAAGAAACTCTGTTTCACCAACACAGTGAGTGCCTTGCCACAGAAGGGCTGGGTCACTCAGAAACAACGTGGACCATTGCCCCAGTCGCGTCACCTGTTGGTTGTGCCACAGTGGTTTCGCTACCCCCAGTCGAAGTGGACATCGAGCTTCTGCTGGGGGAGTTGGCGGGGTCGACGGGGTCGGGGGCGGGGTATTCAACCGAAGTGCGTTTAAGAAGTCGCTGTGGGCTGGGTTGCTCCAGGTCATCAGTGCGGCCCAGGGAGAGAGTTGAAAGGCTCGCAGAATGCAGGCAAGTCAACGCGGCCAAGTTGGTTGAAATCCCACGCCGCTCCCCAGACCGATGATGGTGAAGGGGTCCCTCCAGCCCGCTTGTAACTCAATGGAGCTGCTGACCACGCGGCAGAGCAGGTGGGCCGTCGGCGAGGGGACTGGCCAGGGACGGTCGATGTGCGAGAAAGTAGTTCTCGAACACCTTGCTTCGGTCGCCCACTGCAGAAGTGCATGTGGGGTGATCCGGCACCTTTTGGCTCCAGCGGAGGACAGATCGCCCCCACCGGATTTCTTGCGCCCCTCAAATCTTCCCGATGTTACGTTGCATCTTGGGGGGACCTCGCCTGTCCCCAAAATTTGTGTCTTCTCTTGTGCCCGACGCGGGCTCGATGCCGACTCGACGCTGACTTGGCGTGGATTCGGTACGGCTTCGACACGGATCCGTCGAGGCCGACGTGGATTCGACACGGATTCGACGCGGATAGGGCCGCAATGGGACAGACGAGGTCCCCCGAGGATGCAACATGACAGATGTAGGGGGCCACATGCGAACCCTACCCCTACCCCCCACGATTTCTGAGGGGGGGGGTGGGGGTTTCACTTCGCTCGGGAGCTCCCTCACGAGGTGAACCCCACCCTCCCCCTCAGAAATCGTGGGGGGTAGGGGTAGGGTTCGCGTGTGGCCCCGAAGGATGCAAGCACCTGAGGACCAGATCCCAGAAACAATCTCGAGCGGCCCTAGGAGGGGGAGGAGGAGGAGGAGGAGGAGGAGGAGGAGAGGAGGAGGAGGAGGAGGAGGAGGAGGAGAGGAGGAGGAGGAGGAGGAGGAGGAGGGAGGAGGAGGAGGAGGAGGAAGAGGAGGAGGAGGAGGGAGGAGGAGGAGGAGGAGGAGGAGGAGGGGTAGAGTTCGCATGTGGCCCACTAAGATGGCCCCCGTGGATGCCCGGCGGGCTTCCGATCTGTGGGGCCCGCCGCCGGGGCTGCCGAGCTCGCGCCGAGGGGGGGCGCCGGGGCGGCCAACCGAGCGGGCGGCCCTCCGGGGAGGCCCGCGGCCGGTCCCGCACGCCGGGCCTGGAAGGACTGCAGCGGGCGCTTCTCGGGGGGTAGGAGATCTGGACGCCCGAAATGGGTACGGAAAGAATGGGTACGATGCCCAACAGCAGTTCCTGCTCATTTTGAACAGGATTCGCTGTCCACGCCGCCGCGGCCTGTGTCCATTCGAGACAGAAGGCCGCCTGCCCAACAGCGGCCGCTGTTGGTTTGGGACAACATTTGTTGTTGGGCATTGTACCCATTGTTTCCGTACCCATTTCGGCCGTCCAAAGGAGAGGGGTGCGGTGTAGATAGGGGAAACAAACAAGTGGCATAAACGTAAAAACTCGGAGGTCCGCGCGGATCTCTCAGATCCGCGCTGGACCCCCCTGGCGGCGCCTCCGGCGCCGCCCCTGGCGCGCTCCGCGCGCCAGGGAGGGGGGTCCAGCGCGGATCCGAGAAATCCGCGCGGACCTCCGAGTTTTTATGTTTATGCCACTTTTTGTTTCCCTAGTAAAGGGGTGTGGTGCCAATGCTGGACCCGGCGGGCGGGGTTATCCCTCGTAGATGGCATGCAGCTTCCGCGAGGGGCACCCCCTTCTATGCCACACCCCTTTGGCGACCTCCAGGGTTGCGGCTGCTGGGATCTGGGGGGCCGGGGTCGGCGACGAGGCCCGAGCCCTGCCCCCGCGGCCTCTCGGTCTGGACCGGCAGGGGTTCAGTGGTGGGGGGTTCGCCTCGCTCGAGCCGCGCGCGCGAGGGTGATCGTATCCCGGAGGGCTTGTGCCGCTGATCAGTGGCACAAGAGAACTTCGCCCCGAGACTTGCTGCTCGTTTTGCATGTCGCAGCTCGGGCGCATATGGCATATGCGCACATGTACACAGCCAAGCGCATGCATTCACGCAGAAAAGGATGCACCATGAGGTCGACAAGTGTCATCGGAGCAGCAAGCGTTTACCTGTGTAGTTGGTGGCCTCCCTGCTGAGGTGGGTGGATCTGGCCCTTCGGTCGTGCTTTGCGCCCGCTCGCAAGTGCTGAGTTCCCGCCTGTGTCCTGGCCCACCTCCCCCTCCCGAGGGATGGACTGGCAGGGGCAGAGTTCACGTGCGGCTGCCTGCAAGGCCCAAGGCTGCGTCGTGGCATGGCTTCGCGGTGCCTGCCTCGTGGGAGGCCCGCACCTTCGCGCAGTGCCCTTTCCTCAGGCTTCCCTGGGCGGCTTCGCTGGTGTCGACACTGTGGAGCCCGTGTTCTGGCTGGAGAGTCGTGGAAACCGACGGCTTGCCATGTTCGTTGCGCCTGAGCTTGGGGATCTGTGGTGCCGATCCAACACAGAGGAACAGATGGAAGCATCATATGCATAATCTGATGGGAAGCAGGCGGAGGGCAAGGCGGAGAAAGTGGGGGGAGGGGGGAAAAGGAGTAGGGGGAAAGGGAGAGGGTACGGGGGTATTGGCCCTGCTGAGGGCGTGCGAGCTGACAGTCCAGTCCTGGGCGCGCCCGAACTGATAACCCGTGTGTCATGTGAGCGGGTATCGGCGGCAGCTGCCCTGGGGCTGAGCACACGGATCACGCGTGCACAGAACAGCAGTAGAAGTAGGGTTGGACTCCCTTCCCCCTGCTCCTGTGTCTCCTCCTCCTCCGCCTCCTCCTCCTCCCTCGCTCTTGCTGGGATCTGGGGCCTCTGCCCAAGCAGCCGCCCGATCCCAGCAAGAGTGAGGGAGGAGGAGGAGGAAGAGGAGGAGGAGGAGGCGGAGGAGGAGGCGCAGGAGGAGGAGGAGGACGAAGACGACGACGAACCCTGGAGATGAAACGGCGCTGAGGCCTGCTTCCGTCCTGCGGGCCTCACTGGCCGCTCCCGCACGTGGGATCTTCTGCTTTTTCCCCCCCTCGCGCGCCTGCACGGGACGGGTGCCGCGAGTGCCCGAAGGCAGTCCCCCCTGATGAGAACGATTGACGTGACTGCAGGCCAGTGGTGAGAGTTGAGGCCAGCATCGGCGGCGAGCGAGGGGGGGGGAGTGAGAAGGGGCGGGCCTTCTGAGAAGGCTCGGGAGCCCCCCAGCCTTCTGGGAAGTTTTTAAGCCTTCCCCGACGACACACAAAAATTCTGAGAAGGCCAAATGGCTTCTGAGAAGTCCCGCCGCCTTTTGAGAAGGCTTTCTCCTTCTCATTTCCACCCCTCGCTCGGCGTCGAGAGTAGGCAGTTAGGCCACTGGTGTGGTACTAGATTATGGGAGCCTCTCTATGTCCTCGAAATTCAGTCTTGAGAGTGCATTGGCGTGCGCAAGAGTCTGGTAATCGATGGAGAAAGTGGCAATTCAGCGTCGATTAACGTCGATTTAGTTCCGAGTCGCCTCGATTAGCGTCGGCTAGCGCCGACACGCAGGAGCCAGCAAGATGACATGGGAGGCTCCCATGAGTTGCAACAGCACAGTGGTGGCAATGAAAGCACTCACTGGTAACAGTGGTGGCGCCGATGACGAAGCTGGCTGCTAACTGTGACGCTGGCGACGACCGTGCCGATTGCAGTGACGAGCGCGATGTCGATGGCAGTCATGTCGGCACAGTCAGTGCTTACTGTTGCGATGACGCTCCTCACGAGCAGTGCCCGGTGACATGGTTATCTCCGTCCTGAGCGCTCGAGAGGGCATGTCAGCGCGGCGGGCACTGGGGAGGGCCACCTGCCGCCAGGGGGAGCGGGAGGGGGGAGGAGGAGGGAGGCCTGGGATCAGGGGGTTGATGCTGAAGGAGAGGATCGTTTTTTTGTTTACTGTTTTTGTGTAGTTTTTGTTTATATGTGTGTTATGTTTGTGTGTGTGTGTTTTCC